TTGATTAGCTGCAATTCATTGTGGTTCCAAGCCTGTGTGTCCAAAACCATGTCTTCACTGACAGAGCTATTTGTGTCAGTTACTGGTCCTAGGCACGCACTGGTCGCATGTATAGAACTAAGTACTGCACGGCCCTACATCTGCAGTGCCCAAGTGGGTTGCTCTAGGCAGTGCCCAAGTGCATACCTCCAGTCTTGGTTCCACCAGGAGGGGAATTGCTTGTAGCCAGTATATGCTGCACGAGTCTGAATATACAAAGCAAGTGCATCAAAAAGAACCCCTCCTATTCGCTGAATCACTGATATAGGAGCACCCAATATTTGCCTTAGCATAGTTAAACTCAGTGGCAGTCTGTTCTTGAGACAAAGCTTCTGTAAATCTTGAGCTGTCCAAGAAGGACTTGAAACAGGTAAGACCATTGCAGAAAGTTATAAAATTCGTTATGTTTGTGTTCAGAATGGAAGAATTTGGGGAGTTCCCACACCAGGTCATGATTATGATTTTAAGGAGCTGTCTCAATTCAAGCAACAGAAGAAGGGGTCTAGAGCAAATCAAAGAAATGAATAGTAGCAGGTCAGTGGAGCTAAGTGGTGGTTGGCTACAGGTTTTAAAAGAACTTGCATAGGAAATTGCTTAGCCACTGACATGGTGGGGTAAGCTATGCTTTAAATTGGCCTTACTACAAAGGGAATGAAAGGTTGGCTCCATCTGTACTTAAAAAGGCTCCAAGATGGTCCAGCAGAATTATAGACAAGTAAGTCTGACGTTTTACACCGCCGATTGATTAAGCTACCAGAAGGTAGTAGACACACATATGAAGACAGTGTTTCAGAGAAGAGGCAATGTGACTTTAGCAGAGGAGACTCATGTCTTGCAAATATAGCAAGTGGGTAGAGGGGGGAGCCAGCTGCCATGGAATAAGAGGAAAGAATCTCTCCTGAATGAATAACTGGTTATAGATAGGAAATAAATGATACAAATAACTATAGTTTTCACAATGAAGGGACATTATCAACTATCTCTCTTAGGATCCTGTGCTGCTCGATATACTCTTAAAAGAGTTGGAAAAGGAAGTCAGTCGATAGCAATGTGCCAAAATCTGCTGATGGTATAAGAGTTATTCGAGGTATGCAAAAGTAGACCTGCCTGCAAAAAGTTGCAGAACAATCTGGCAGTATCAAATGTCTGGTCAATAAAATAGTTGATGAAATTCCACGTCAATAAAAGTCAAGTACAGACACAATGGTAGGGTTTAAATTAGCCCACGAAAGAGGTCCTGGCGTCATTGCAGATGGTTCTTTGAAAACATCTGCTTAGTGCTCAGCAGAGGTCAGAAAGGCAAGTGGAACGTTAAGAATTGGTAGGAAAGAGATAGAGAATGAAAAAGAAAATGTAAGTACACCACTGAATAAATCCGTGGTGATCTTGAATACTGAGTGCAATTCCAGTCACTCCCATCTCAATGAGACGGTAAAATAGAACGAAAAGATGCAGAAAAGGGTGAGAAGGCTGACCTGAGTTATGAAGTCGGGAGTCTAAACAGCTTAAGCCAGTGAAGCTTGCAAAAGAAATGAATGAGCAGGATTATGGCAGAGGTGTAAAATCAGGATTGCTGAGGAGAAAGTGAATAAGGAATTATTTTTCGCAACAAAGGAAGAAATGAAATGGTCAGGCAACAAGCTTAAAGCAAACAACAGGAAAAAGCTTTCACAGTCTGTAATAAATTAAGAAACTCATCAAGCAAAATCTTTTGCATGCCAAAAAGTAAAAATAGGTTTAAAATGTAGCAGTGCTGAGGCTGTTCCCGGGGCTGGCTCCAGTACGGTTCTGCTCCAGACCCTATCCTGATGTACGGAGGTGGTTTAAGTCCTCTCCGTCCTCTTCAGCTGGGCAGGATTTGGATCCTGGTTTGGTTTGGGCTGCTCTCCAGGAGAACCTGGCAGGTGTTTTTGGGACAGATTATAGTCACTTAAAGGATCATTGTGATCTTCCAGTATGATCTCTGGCATGACAAAAGCCTAAGAATTCCCTTGAGTTAGTTAATTAATTCTATTGGATTTACAGTATAATATTTAGGAGGAAAAAAGTCCAATAGTACCTTACAAACTCCCTGCACTAGGTAAAAGACCTTGAGGGTTAACTATACTCTCCTTAATTTGGCCCTTCCTGTTTCTGCATTCAAAGGCTGCGCTAGCCCTTTTGGCTGCAGCATCGTAATGGGAGCTCACGTTGGATGGCTCGGGAATTGTGTGACAGCAAGGACTAAAAAGTCTGCTAGAACAGGATTATCATCAAATTATATCTGCCTTGGCGGCAGGAAATCAATCAGAGTGGGCTGATTTACACCTGCCGGAGCCAGCACATCATGAACTTCATCATCTTTCCCAGTGATGTTTTTATCTTTGCACTGACACAGTCAGTGCGAGGAAAATATTTTCCCATTTAAAATCAAAACATTCAAGGTAGCGTTTGGCAGAGTGTCGGAGCCTGGGGTTCCTGCTGCTTCTGACAACAGTGCTGGTATCTTTTGCTAATGACCAAAGTGCAATATAATGAGTTGTCTTGGGCTTCTGCTTTATTCAGCTTGCAATGTTTTAATAGACTGCTAGTAATTCTGAAAGGGATAAATGATGTTTATGCCCTCTTGTGGTATGTTATTGAACAGAATGGATTTTCTAACTGATGAAATTAGGCCAATGATGGAAAAGTCCTAGGTAAAAATCTGTAAGAAACACTGTTTTGCGCAGTAAAAAAATATCCATCCCTTGAGCAGCCTGCCCATGACTCAAACAAGGGGGGAAGCCAGTTTTACATGCATTTACAGCAGCAAGTAAATGACTCTTGCCCATGATGATAGAGTTTGTGCCATCCTTCTGCAGTGAAGATAATTTTAAAAGTACTTTTCCTTGCTAGGAATTTTAGAAAGTAAGTGAAATACTGCTTTCTAAAAGCAGCTGAGTTGATGTCTTTTTGCTTTTGTTGTTACAAAGCTGTTGTGATACATACCTTCGTGGTTATCTTCTTCACTCATACTTCTGACAGGCAAATAATCTGATTCCCTTGGGCCAAAGCCTGTCCCATAGATTGAAAACTCTGTTCAGTGATTTTCCTTGAGAAAACAAGGCCAGATTTCTGTAAAATTACCGTTTTTTACCCCTCCGTGTTGAAATACAGGATCTCACAATGAATTAGCTCGTCAGCATCTTCCTAATCTGCCCTGAGAATTTAGGTCTCCAATGAGAAACTGAGGAGCTCCACAGAAAGATCAGTCTCGGGTTTTGTATGAATCTGTTGCTTTTTCCCAGATTGCAAACCGAATACAGCAAAATGTATCCCCCAGATAGTGAAATTACCAGAATAAATCAGTGTTCCACCTAGTCCAGCGTCGGCGCTCTGGCTGTGGTCAAAACTCAGCTGCACTGAGGTAGGATCTCGGAAACCGTGTTCTAGGCATCTCTAGGCTCTTGGTCCCATGTAATCACCTTCCAGTCTTCGGGTATTGTCTCATACCTAGAGGCAAGACAGTATATTTCTCATATATGCCATTCTGCTCTCTACGCAGACACCAAGGACATAGAAGACTGTTGCAAAGAGGAAGGGAATAATTTCCTTTCCACATCCATGATGAGTAGGACAAAAGTAGTTGCCTTAAATGGAAGTAGTAGGCTTACCTGGGTTAGGCTTTAGGAAAAAATACCTCTAACAGGGTGGTGAATATTGGAATGGACTACTTGAGAGAACTGGAGGATCTTCATCTCTGGAGATCTTTCATGAACAGTTCAGCTAATGCCTGCTGGGAGTAATGTGGCTATCGTTAGTTCCTATCGTGATGAAAGATGTTGGCCTAGATGACTCACTACAGGTCCTGCCAGCTCTGTTTTTGTGATTCTATGTGATGATTTGTTTTTATTTATTTGTCAGTATGATGAGACAATGCATATTTGTATAGCAGTCTTAAATACTAACCCTTTGTTCTTACAGTTGATCTTGCTGTCAGGTCTGGCTGATAGCAATGCAATTCTATTTATGTCTTGTACTTGACAAGTATACTTTACAACAGTAAACACCTTAGTCTGACATCATTAAAGTGCTTGTTAGGTTATCACAGACTTCAGTGAGCACAGGTTATGTCCCCACTAAGATGAGAATTAGCTCTGAAATAGTGGTGCTTAAATGCTTCCTTAGGAAAGCAGAAATCGTTAGGGATAATTTCATGGTAAATCATATAAATAAGAAAAGTTTCCTCTGTCAGAAACCTTTGAGGCATTTCGAATTAATTTAGGGAATTTCAGAAAGAAGTTGAAGTCTAATTTAAAATCACCACCCACATTCCTTCTTTTCCTACAACGTGATTATTGCTGTTGGCCCATGGATTGGCAAATCTTCTTTCAGAAACGAGCCATAATTTGCCTTAAAAATCCCTTTCTGGTCAGGATGGAACTATTAATTTCGGAGAAAGGGATTCCAGTGATTCCGTAGAAAGAGCCCAGATGTTCTTAATGCCCATTGACATCAGTGGGGCTGAGATTTTCTTCAGAGCTACTTGGCATTAGGAAATTTGAAGTTGATAGCACATATCAAAGCGGAGGGACCTACCAAATGAAGTTCTTGGACCCCTGCAAGGCAGCCAACCAGACTAGACCAAAGTGTGCTCTGTTGGCTTTCACAGCTGTTTTTCCCTTTTGTTGATGGCACCACATCGCTGCCTGAAGTGGTTGATAACGAGGAGAGAATGAATACAAGGCCACAGCGAATTAAACAAACGGCCCTTAAAGCAGGACTGTGCACTACCTCTTCTCACCCATGCATACGCTGACGCCCACAGTGTCTCCTAACAAAATAAAGTGAATCTAAAGATAAAGGGCTTTCAGGATTGTGCTGTAAATGTGGTCTCAGGGCTTGGAGACAGCTGTGGCTCCTACCAAGAGGAAACCTAATGTCATTCATCAGCAGAGAAGCCAGCAAACCACTAATGGATTTCCATGTCGTTTTTTTGACAGATATTGACGGAGGGTGGTTTTGGAACCATCACAACAGAAATCCGAGAGGCTTCAGAGTTCTATTACGCTGAAGATTACCATCAGCAGTACCTCAGCAAGAACCCCGATGGATACTGTGGGCTCGGGGGCACGGGGCTTTCCTGTCCGATCAGGATCAATAAATAGTCTCTGCTTATGCCACTACCTCAAAGTTGTATTAGGGGCTTGTTTGAAAAAAGCTGACAACCCCAAGAGGTGTTATTGTATACCCGCAACATTAGTCTGTATGGATATGGGCACCCTGTAGAGGTGGTGTTGTTCTGTAATTTGAGCAGCTGGCATTGCTTTGCATTCAAAGACCTTAACAAGCCAAAGTAGAGCCTGAAATTGCGCTTGTTTACAAATGCAACTACTTCCTCTGTGCTGTCCATTGGGTTTCCTTGCAATCTCGCAATTTGGAAAGAAAAGAAACTTTGTAAAGTTTGGCTTGACGTGTGGATAAAGAGGTGAACTAGGGAGTAGCTGCACCTGCTAACTTTTTTGCGTAGCTAATGCTTATAGACATATTCGTCATCTTGGCTAATGAATTTGCTCGTGTTATGAGAGCTTTGACTTTTGGAGATAATAGTTGGGAACATCTTAACTATCAAAACTCTATGACTTGATAGCGTTAAGAATGATGAATTTATAAGATCAATAATTCTCTCACAATACTGCTTTCACAGCAACATATAAAATCATCTGTAGTGCCTATTTTCTGAATCAGTTTTATTTAAAAAGGATAAAAACAGTGATATATTTCTTGTTGACAGTTCCAAAAAGTGTATAAATACAAAAAATTCAATTTTGTTTCCTACATTGGGATAAAAAAATTTAAAAAAGGAAAAAAAAGAAAAAAGAAGAATGTTGCCTGTGATGTGTTCTATGGCTCTAAATATATGTCTGGGTAGATCTGAAAAAAGGATCAAATATTATAAAAGGCTGCAGCCTGCTAATTAAACACTAGGACTTTTTAATCTGTATTATTGTGCATGACAGTACAGAGGAGTAGAATTCATATTGGGTGCATTGTAATATAATTATTCCTATGATGAATTGTTTGTAACTTCAATAGCTTGTGGAGCTCCCACCAAGAGCAAAGCTCGTTATGGCGGGTGCTATACAAATATAATATATGGAGCAGTCTCTGCCCCAATGCATGTACAGTCAAAATAGGCAGGACAGTCAGAAAGAGGCTAAACCATTATCTCCATGTTATTGTTGGGGATCTCTGAAAGTGGAAACTAAAAGTTACAGCTAAAGGATGTAGGGGATCCTATATGGATCTTTGTGTCTTCTCCACGGACAGACAGCTTCAGTAGAGGAGATGATGTCCGGTTTGTCCCATCCTCCCAGCCTGCTGATTACAATACTTAAGAGC